AACTGCCCTTGAAGAGATTGTTGTTGTTTCATGTTCAAAGTTTCAGGGAAGAATATAGGTAGATTTGGGTGACGTAATTTGCCATCCATACTTAGTCCTTTACATCTGCCTGACTCTGATGAAACTCATCATCCCACTGCCTTTGAAAACTTTCAGTTTTGGGGTTCAAGATGCTGAGCTTAGTTGTCCTTTTGGAGAAGATATTTATCAGAAAAGTCATTAATACCATAAACATAACTGACAAAAGATAAGCCCACATGGCAGTATGAGGGATTCTCTCACATGTCTCAGAGGAAGTAAGGAGAACTTGTGGCACATGACATGAGTAGCCCGAAGTACTTACTGTCACTGAATTAACTGTGAGGGTGAAATGGAAAAAATGTAGAAAAATGGCATACCTTAATTGTGGAATGTAAATTTCTATAGCTTTACAAACTGTTGAAATTAACAATCTTTGCAAAATGGCATGGCCATCAATAATATCCTTCATTGTATGTCAGATCCTGAGTATATGAGCTACCTTTTGTGTATCTTCTTTTCATGGTCTCAAAGTGACCATGATGTTTCCAAGCACCATGGGGGCACATGTCACATCTCAGTGGCTATAGCTTTGTTCTTACTTCAAGACCCACATTACAGATTCTTTCCTTATCAATTAATCCAGCCAGCATACAATCTGTGCACCCTGGCTTGTGTTCATTATTGGCACCAGAGGCAAAGTTCTTTTTTTCTTGCCTAGAATGAAGATCTCAACAGCTCTTCCCCATGAGCCAGCTTCTGTGTAGATGATGTATCAAATGGTCACAACCTTTAGTTGTCCAGGAGGACAACTAAATTTAAGCCTATATGTTCTAAGTAAGATGTTGTACATCCCTGTCTTTTACCCAATCTTTTCATATATAAAATTTGGCTTCCCATCCAACTGAAAAACTCTTATTACAGAGTTGAAAGGAAACTGAAACTCACCAACTTACTGCCATTTTGCAAACAAGATTGGTGTCATACTTGATTTTTTTGATAACTATAAATGATAATGATGTTTCTTTTTTTCTTTGTCTTTCAAAAATTTCCATTAATTTTACATACCAAACATAGTTTCCCCTCCCTTCCTTCCTCCTGCTCTCCACACCTTCCCCCCACCCACTTCCACTCCTCAGAAAGGACAAAGCCTCCCTTGGAGAGTGAACAAATCCTGGCATCTCAAATTGAGGCAGGACAAAGACCCTCCCCATGTGTCAAAGCCAAACAAAGCATCTCACCATGAAATGGGCTCCAAAAAGCTATCTCATGTACCAGGAATAGATCCTGGTCCCACTGCAAAGGGCCCCACAAAGAGACAAAGCAATACAACTGTCACCCACATTCAAAGGGCCTAGTTTAGTCCCACGCAGGCTCCCAAGCTCTTGGGCCAGATTCCATGAGTTCCCAGGAGCTTGGGTCTTCCATCCCTATGGGTTTCCCTGTCACTATCCTGATCCCCACTGCTCATTCAATCCCTCTTCCCTCTCTTCAACTGAACTTCAGGAGATCATCCCACTGTGTGGATGTGAATCTCTGCATCTGCTTCCATCAATTATTGAATGGAGGTCCTATGATGACAATTAGGGAAGTCACAGATCAGATTACAGGAGAAGGCAAGTTCAGGTACCCTCTGGGGTCATGCTTGTAGATTCCTGGGAATTTCTCTAGCACCACCTCTCTCTAATCGTTACCCATGGGCATTAGTAGCCACGATTTATTGTTAGAAGATACACTGTTTTATCTGTATAGATGGTAGTAGGCACAGCCAACCATGTGCATCTCATTTCCTAGAAAACTAGGGCGCTTGCTACTGTCAGAGGATAATATTTTCAACTATGTTATTTAGTAACTTAGGGAGTAAATTTAGGCTTCTGTTCATTTGAAGCAAGAGGTGACTTTGTTGCTCTAATATATATAATTAAAGAGTTGAAATTGACTTTAAATGAAAATTGAAAACAAATTAAGCAATCACTCAATGTAATGCCTATGGTTATAGCCCTTATGTATATTTAGATACACTGAGAAAAAATAAAACAAAATGCCTGCATTTCTGAGCGTTTTATTTTATTCCAAGTAGAAAACACAGTGTGGTGACAATGTTTAGAATCAGTGTAAAATATTCCATGTAATGATCACTTGCTTTGATGTTCATACATGCAATACACTAATGCCCATCGATTAAATGTAATGGTATCTGTTAATGTTGAAGTCAGACAATCACAAATTCAGCTCATGGAATTCACTTACTGGTTTTATTCATTAATCTTCTCTAGTGACCATGACTAGACTACTTTTATTTGACATTGGACAGCATTTGTGTTAATAATAGAAAAAATTTTAAGTGTGCCTACTTCTTATAACCTGACACTTGTAAAGTTATTGCCTATCATTTTCTGTCTTATTACAATTTTTATTTCCTTAATTTTATGACTTTGGGATGGCAGCCAATAGCCTACTGCCTCAAAAAGATATTGTTTCAAATGAACTTATTATGGCTTATATTTAGTTAGATTTATTAGTGCTGACTTGGGTTTTGTGCTCCAGCAAACAAATTCATATGAAAGTACTCAAAACATTCTTGGAGCTCTGGTACAAGTTGAAACCTAGCTGCTTGCTAAGGACGTTTTGATGTTTCACAGATTAAGCCACACATGTTTGTTTGTTGAATTAGGTCTTGTAGTAGGACTGTTCTTTGGGGCACCAGCTCACAAATAATAACATGCAGATTTATTATTAATTATGAAAGCCTGACCTTAGCTTAGGCTTGTCCCACTACCTCTTAAAACTTAAGTGAACCCATTTATAGTAATCTACATTCTGTCATCCCTAGCCTCTTCTTTCCTCTCTGTGTCTCACTGGTGAATGTCACCATTCTTTGTCTAACAATTCTCTCTGGCCAAAGTCCCCCCATACCTCCTGCCTAGGTGTTCAGTTTTTTACTACACCAATGTCAGCAATACATCTTTACACAGTGTGAAAATATTCCACAACAGGGTCTTTTGGTTCAAAGTGTGAATGTTACTCAGATACAAACATTGATGGCAGCCTTTGCTGCATTCCACATTAACAGCATCAAAATTCCAATGACTGATGAAGTTTATTTCATTCTTCTCTTACCTCCCAAATATAGATTCTAAAAATGTTTTGAAGTTTCTAATATCTTTCCAATCTATCTTTGGTTCAATTATATTAAAATTCCAATTAGGTCAATATGAAAAATTCAGTTAGACAAAATCAGCCATATCTCTTTGATGGGATTTATTTGTAAAATAATTAACTGATTGTTTATCTTTTTAAGTCTGTTTCTACTGAAAATATGTAGTTAGTGCATCTTGTATTCAGGCTCTAATTATAGGCAACAGAAGTACAAATCCTTCTGATGTACCATGGATGAGGTACCAGGGGTGAATACATTGTCTCACACCATGACATAGTCTAAGCAAAAACTACTTATAGACACTACTCTATACAAGAGCTCAGAGAGCCCCCTCTGTTCTCATCTCTCTCTGTCTGTTGACCTCTTTTCTAGCACATTTATTCCTGCAGCCACAAGCACTGTCCAACAAGGACAAAAATTTTTATTTCCTGTAATCTCAAGAAATGAAATGAAACTAAATTATCTGATAGGGACACAGGGATTTCATGGATTGGAGTTTGAAACTTGACACTTGTTGACAAGGGTTGTGCCTAAGCAGTCCTGAGCAGTGTCACTTGGGATCTTCTTGTTAAGGATATTCATTCTCAGGCCCTGTTCCAGACTCTATGAATGAGAAAAATCTGGGACTAGATCTCATCAAGACTCATAGAATTCCCTCCAAGTAACCCACTACACATGTTCAAGTTAGAGAAGAACTATGGTGTGTTATCAAGCCAGGCCTAAATCATGTACACACCTCTCAGCTTCTGTGTGCAAATTACATTCCCACAGGGTAGAAAAGGGATGTGAGGAGCCCATAGCAAGAAAGAAAGATATATGGAGTGCTGGCCATGAGGGAAAATGGCAGTGCCAGTAACATTCAGTTTAGCAGCAAAGTCCTCCTTTGTGTGCAACAGCATTGTTTCCCAGAACATCACTAACTGTGGTGACTTCCCCAGAAAGCCAATATTCCAACACAACCAATACACTTTCCACTCTCTGTTGTGCCACAGAGACTCGGTTTCAATTTTGTCTTTAGAGAGATGCTTGGCAACCCTTTCAATGTTTCCAGACCACAATCCTAACATTTCCTTACTCAATACTTTTTGCATGCTGTGATGTGGTCCATGAAGCCTAAAATAATGAACACTATTGCTGTTCTCTGGTAAGAAACAAGGTGCATCTGTCTGTTCCAGCAGCTCTCAATGACTGGGGCCATTATCTGAGGGATTTTGACAGGCTCTATAAAATCCTGCAAGGGAGTAGTAAGCACTGGCACATTATCTAAAAGTATACTAAGCCTCTGTGTGTGTGTGTGTGTGTGTGTGTGTGTGCGTGCATGCGTGTGTGTGTGCATGTGTGTGTGTGTGTGCGTGTGTGTGTGTGTGTGTGTGTACACCTATTTTGGGGTGTTACTGTTTGTTTTGTGTGCCTCTCCCCAAACTTGAGACTTTTGTGCTGATCCTCCTGGAGGAGTGTAGCACAAGTTCTAATTGACCTTAAAAATAAAAACCAAGAGTCAGATATTAGGGGGAGAAGGCAGAAAGATCTGAAAAGCAGAGCAGCCAGTCACTAGAGTTCCATCTCTATGAAATCCTCAAACTGAAAAGAGATTGAGTTCTTGTGTCCTCCCAATTTACCATCTCCTCTCTCTGCCCAGCCATACCACTACAGGGGAGGCAGTTGATCACATGTCCATGTATTTCTGTTTAGCTGATCTGGAGAGTTCCCTGTGCTACTGCTAGCTGCAGTAATGTTGGTATTGTTTGTCGTTGATGCTTTCTATGATTCTTATCTTTTGAATGACAAGCCTGCTTTTTCTCATTTCTTATGCTATATACAGATAGAGGACATGCAATGGGGCAAAGGAGTCCGGGAGATACCATCCTCTGTATGCACATTGCCCTGCAAACCTGGGCAGAGGAAGAAGACACAGAAGGGGACCCCTTGCTGCTGGACCTGTGAGCCCTGTGATGGATACCAATATCAGTTTGACGAGATGACATGTCAGCACTGTCCCTATGACCAGAGGCCCAATGAGAATCGAACTGGCTGTCAGAACATCCCCATCATCAAACTGGAGTGGCACTCTCCCTGGGCTGTCATTCCTGTCTTCCTAGCAATGTTGGGAATCATTGCCACCATCTTTGTCATGGCCACTTTCATCCGCTACAATGACACACCTATTGTCAGGGCTTCTGGGCGAGAACTCAGCTACGTTTTATTGACTGGCATCTTTCTCTGCTACATCATAACCTTCTTAATGATTGCCAAACCAGATGTGGCAGTGTGTTCTTTCCGGCGTGTCTTCTTGGGCTTGGGCATGTGCATTAGTTATGCAGCCCTTTTAACAAAAACCAACCGGATTTATCGCATCTTTGAGCAGGGCAAGAAATCAGTGACAGCTCCCAGACTCATAAGCCCAACATCACAACTGGCAATCACTTCAAGCTTAATATCAGTGCAGCTTCTAGGTGTCTTCATTTGGTTTGGGGTTGACCCGCCCAACATCATCATAGACTATGATGAGCATAAGACAATGAACCCAGAGCAAGCCAGGGGAGTTCTCAAATGTGACATCACAGACCTTCAAATCATTTGCTCTTTGGGATATAGCATTCTTCTCATGGTCACATGTACTGTGTATGCCATCAAGACTCGGGGTGTCCCAGAGAATTTTAATGAAGCCAAGCCCATTGGATTCACTATGTACACAACGTGTATCGTATGGCTTGCCTTCATCCCAATATTTTTTGGCACTGCACAGTCGGCAGAAAAGGTAAGTGAAAATATCTCACCGTGCATTTCAGAAATGTCTGCTTCTGTGAAGATTGAAACAAAATTGACTGTGTCTTCCAAAGAGATTTATATATACAGAATAGAAGGTTTAAAATTATAAACCGTTGGACCAATAGCTTGATAGTGCAGGAGTTTAAAATTTTCAGTAGGATATTCCCCTTTGAAACTACTAAAAAACAATGACATGTGACCTTTTCAAGTAAATATATTTACATAAAATTAGTATAATTAGGTATTATCCAGGAGAAGATGATCTAGTCTAACTAAATAAAGACTTCCTCCCCACTCACCTGCCACTCTTGTTCTTACATGAATGTTCCTTTAGTATATTATTTGGCCACAGTACCTATCTTCCAGGTTGGCTATTAATTCATGGTGTTCATTTGTCATTATTAGCATCACTACAGATCAGCAGTTCTCAACCTGTAGGTCGGGACTACTTTGCGGGTCAAAAACCCTTTCATAGTGGTTGCCTAAGAAAATCAGAATACAGAGATATTTATATTAAAATATAACAGTTGAAAAATTACAGTTATAAAGTAGTAACAAAAATTTTACAGGTTGGGGTGACCAAAACATGAGGAATCATATTAAAGGGTTGCAGCATTTGGAAGGAATGTTGAAAAGCACTGCTATAGATATTCTGTCTTTTTAGTAGCTCATCTAGGCTGTTGCTGTAGATATAGTGCACAAACTAAATGGTGCATTAGAGTTGCCCAGTTGCACACCCATCAAATATAACCAGATAGGCTGATAGATAAGGATATCAATTATTCTGTATAATTTTCCTGACAGTGTAGTATACCTTAATCTCAACAAGCAATAATAATGGGATCTAGAGTTTACAAAGTGAAACAGGAAAGAAGAGAGAAGAGACAGAGAGATCAGACTATCAATGTTTGTGGTTGGTGCAAGATACAGTTAGTATACTTGTCCTTGCATGTACTAATAAATTAATGAGTCTATAAATTATAAATTAGGTGACCCTCATATGCTGTTTTTAATGTGGTTAATGTGTATTTAGCTATATGTGTGATTTGCATACTAAGTATGTAACCCTAAAGTATTGATCCTAGACATGACTCATAAAGGAGAGAACCTTATTAGAAATTAAATGCATTGAGTGCATAGAACATCAGGGTCCGTTGTATTGCAATTTAAACTGAACAATATGCTAATGATTTTTATTGTTTTTTTACTTGTGTGTGTGTGGATACATACACATGTTCATGCAATAACATGCATGTGATAGTCAGAGGATAACTTGTAGGGGTTGGTCCTTTCCTCCTACCATGCAGACATCAGGGGCGGACTCTAGGTCATCAGTATTTGCGGCAAGCTCCTTTACTTGATGATCTATCTTTTAGTGCTTGAACAAAGCTGTTAAGTGTTTAGAGCCTTAGACAGGGAAATCAGGATCAAGTTGGAATACATAAAAACTTATACAATCAATACTTCCAAAAATTGGTTTAGTAATTCATTAATATCTCTTTTTCCTATGTGTACTTTATCCAAGATTCATGGCATTTAGCTAGTTTTCCTGCTGAAATGATGTCCGTAACCTAAACTGTGTGATTCCAGAACTATAAGCTTGCCTTTTAAAAATAGTTATCTCATGAAACAAAGCAGAATTCTCAAGCTAAGGACACTGAATATCTCTAGACTATGCGGTTCATTGTAAAATATCTTAGAGATAATTCTTCCAAAATATATAGTCATTGAACACTGGCTGCTTACAATAGTTTTTTCAGATTCATAAATTGTCTGTGAAACCAACTTGAATTTCATTTTATTTCCTCACCCTATCCCTGGGCCAAGGGAATAGTAAAATATAAATTAGGGTTCTGAAATGCAATAGAGATAAAAAAATTGTAAATATATGTTGGTAGGTTGGTTACTAATATATTTTTGTTTGGAGAGGACAATGATTGTCATCAAACTGCTAAAACATAATTCTTTTGCTGTTAAAAAATGTCATGTGCAGAAGGTTAAAGGGATTAATTATATTCTTTTACTTATTCTCAATGATGTAAAAGTGTCTCAGTAATATCAGAAGTATATCTCATTGCATCCTATGTGCTTTTTCTTTGTCATATAAAATATAAGAATGACGGCATAGCGTTTGAACTATAGATTTCTGTAACGTTGCTTTCAGTAATGCTATTTCTGTGTTATTTTATCCTTCATTTTTAGCCATTTCTATTTATGACAGTGGGGCTTTTAGAGATAAGATCACATGTGTGATTCTTTACAAACCTGGAACTGATTCTAGTTTCTGTTGATGACATTTTGCCAGTAGAACCAGACCAGTTGGCGAAATTAAACTATCTAGACAATATCATTTCTAATCACTCAGTTTTACAAAACTTACTTCTCTTTGTATATTCTTCATGGCTTATAATGTTTTACATGGCTCATTGGCATAAATAAAAGTGCTGAACTAGGAGAAATGGATTTCTAGATGAAAATGCACACATCTTAATGACAGGCATATGGCTAGAGAAACATGAGTGATCAATTAAGAAAATCACTCTGTGTATATGCAACCATAGCATATAAATTATGCAAAGAGGCAAGTTGCCAAATGAAACAAAGACATCACAGCAAAATGCATGTTGTCTTATTTTTTTGCTAAGTTGGCAACCTTACAAAGTCACAGACATTTTGTTTTGTTCTGATTTAATAGTTTAAGTACCCAAAGTAGAATTCTATTGTCTCAGAAAAAATCAACAGTAAATTCTGTAATAACTGTTTACTGTGCTGCAGAATTGAAACCCACTTTGATTCTTCTAAGGATAGCTCTGTGAAATTTCTCACTGGTTGATTTCATTAGTAAGAACACAAAGACCAAACAATGTTTTTATTTTCAGTGTAAAACGTCATCCCAGTGAAATTTATTTTTGTTTTAGGAACAATGAAACGATCACTGTTACCTCGATTGATCATTGCTACCCTATGACTTGCTAGAATTTGAATCCTTAAATTTTATCAGAGATGGCATGGTAAACTTTAGCCACACTAAAATAGATTTTAGAACTTGGAAATTATCTATATGCATGACCATGAAAAGATGGGGCATGAGGAGGTGTGGGAGGGAGAACTGTGGTTGGAATGCAAAATGAAATTAAAAAAAACTTAAAAAAGAGTCCACATAATAGTATGAAAAGTGAAATAATACTATGGTAGAGAATAGTTAGTCTTGTGTATTATGTTGTTATTATGTAATTGTATCTTGGCACTGTCTGCTCAAAGACTAGATTGTTCTCTATGAAAAACAATGATTTGGTCAGTGGGTATAGTGTTAGAGGGAGTGGTCTGCGCAAAAGTTGATGCTGCCAAAATTTCAGGGACAATATAACTAACTGATCCATTTTTCTCAAGCTTTGTAAGCACTTGTTATCTGAAGAAGTTTCTAGATAAGTTTATACTATATAACCAATCAATAAAACTGGTACATATAGGACCCAGTCTCACAAAATCATGCCCCCTGATAACATTATAGTCATAGTTTGAGAAAGCGAACTGTGTTGTTTGCAGCACAGTGGGAGAAAACATGTGTCATTGCTGTAAGCATCAGGCTGAATCACTGGTGTAAGCATCAGGCTGAATCACTGGAATTAAGTGGTGTTTGTCTGTACATTGTTCTTTCATGTGAGCGGTGACATAGGCTTTGTCAAGCTGGATTGTACATAAGGAAGCAGGACTTGGCAGATGGGTAGGGGACTGGAGGTCTCAGAGGCAGAGGACTGTGCGTACTGTGGGGTTGTTTCTCCAGGAATATGGTGAGAAGAGGAGGACTAGTTGAAGCAATTGAGGGCAGGAGGGCGTTCATTGCTGCAAGTGGAGCTGGTTTCAAAGAAGGAAAGTTATGTTCAACATCAGGTCTGCTCGCAGGGCATGTTTCTGCACGTATCAGAACAGAATCAGGCTGTGTCTCAAATCTTCAATGAGAGAATTCCTTTTTTCTAACAGATAAGGACCCATTCTACTGCATTATAGATGATGGCCATTGATAGCAAGCATATGAACCAGTGCTGGGACCAGACATGATAGTAGGATAGGGAGATAGGAACTTTTCCTGGGAAATTGAATATTGTCCTCCACATATGAAGCTAGCTCCAAAAACGTGATCACAAAGAGAACCCTGCCCCTACTGGGATTAGAAATGCTATGACATGATAATTCCACTCCCAAATCTCAGAGTTTATCTGAAGAAGTATCCTCCAGCTGTTGTCACTAGACCAAACTCACTGGATTGAACTGGAGTTGTTGTTTTGTTGGTTTTTTCCAGTTCTTGTGTGTGTGTGTGTGTGTGTGTGTGTGTGTGTGTGTGTGTGTGTGTGTGTGGTTTTCCTAGTTTGTTATCAGTTTCTGTGATAAACACCATGGCCAAAAGCAACTGGGAGCTGCAAAGATATTGATTTACTTTATGCCTCTGTCGTGGTCTATCAATTATTGGGACAAGCAAACCTGAAGCAGAAACTGAGGAAGAAACCATGGAGGAAAGCTGTTTACTGGGTTGATTCTCATGATTCTCAGGTTGCTTTCTACAATGTCACCTTCCCAGGAGTGGTAACCCACCACAGTGGACTGGGTCCACCCATATCAATAATTAATCAAGAGAAGGACCCACAGACTTGCCAACAGACCAGTCTGATGGCAGCAGTTCCATAGTTGAGGTTCCTTCTTCCTAACTGACTTTAATTGTGTAAACAAAAACTCACCAACAAAGAGGGCTTGGATTGTTTTGTTGTTGTTTTGTTGGCTTTTTTAGTTGTTTGTTTGTTTATCTTGAAAGAATGGAGATTTCACTCTCCAATCCAGACTATTCTGTAATTCACTGTGTAGGCTAGACTGGCCTGAACAGTCCATCACAGTTTCCCTCTGCCTCCAAAGTGCCCAGGACTATAGATAGAAGCACCACATCCAGCTGGTTTCCTACAGCTTTAAAGAAATGCTGTGGTGGGGAAATACTAGCAA